CTCTGCCCTGTAGCCTCTGGCAGCTGAGACCACAAAGCCTCACTGGGTTTACTGATATTTTATGCAGTGGGGAAGGACTTTTATTCTCACCTTCAAATTTGGTAAAGTACATTTCTTTTTTTTTCTTTTTTTTGAGTTGGAGTCTCACTCTGTCGCCCAGACTGGAGTGCACTGGCTGGGAGCAAGCAAGAACCCAGCAAGAAGGACAGCCTCCCAAAGGCGCAGGATTACAGGCTGAGCCACCGAGCCCGGCTAGTACATTTCTTAGAGTAAAATTAGAGCCTTAGGCTGAGGTGAGTGGATTGGCTGACCCGTGGGTTCAAGACCCGCCTGGGCAACTTGAGGAGACCTCATCTCTACAATAAATCAAAAAATTAGCCAGGCGTGGTAGCGCGCACCTGTAGTTCCGGCTACTTGGAAGGCTGAGGCGGAAGATCACTGGAGCCCAGCAGATTGAGGCTGCGGTGGCTGGGAGTGGCCACTGCACTCCAGTCTGGGCGACAGAGACGCCAACTCAAAAATAGAGCCTTGAGTTTGTAAGGCACAATTTGATTCCTCCTGACTCAGCTGAGTTGTGATGATTTTCTGATTTTACCATTTCCCTCTGAGGCTGCCAGTATCTGCTGTCTTCCTGCAGGGGCCAGGCAGCCCTGCCCCCATGTGTCTGGAACTACCCTGGGGCCACATCTGCACCCACCATGTCTCCCCCAGGTCAGAACAGCAGCCTGGGGGAGGGCACCGAGGAGGCAGGGAAGAAGGCTACCCCAGCACACAGAGCTTCTGTTCTCAGCCTCCTGTCCTACTTTCCAAAGAGGCGGTGAAGGTCTACCTTTCATCAGTCTCCCCTGCGCTGTGTGACAAGTGTCCAGATGACATATGATAGTGGAAGGGCTAAAGACAAATCTTTGTATTTCTGGCAAATATATCTCCATCCTTCTTTGACAGGTGCCGTCTGCTATCCCCCGAAGGCCCTTTGGGTTTCCCAGTTCCCAGCACCAGAGGGGGCCCAGGCTCACTGGTGACTGGGAAGGAACACACACACACACACACACACACACACACACACAGGATACTGACCTGCACGCTGTAGCAACCTTGGCTGGTTGGTGTGAGTAAGGACCCGCAGAGGATAGCCTGCTTATGCCTGGTCACACATTTTGAGAAGCGGTCCCTCCCTGAGCCTTTGGCAGCTGTGGCAGCTGCCACAGGCATAAAATGAGGCCAACCCTCTGCCCCCGTCCGATGGACAAGAGTCAGACACCTAGCCGGGCTTGGTGGCTCAGCCTGTAATCTTGTGCCTTTGGGAGGCTGAGGTGAGTGGATTGCCTGATCCTGCAGGTTTGAGACCCGCCTGGGCAGCGAGACCTCCTCTCTACAATAAAATCACAAAATCAGCCGGGTGTGGTAGCACATGCCTGTAATTCCGGCTACTCGGAAGGCTGAGGTGGAAGGATCGCGGGAGCCCAGCAGGTCGAGGCTGCAGTGGCCGGGAGTGGCCACTGCACTCCAGTCTGGGTGACAGAGTGAAACTCCAACTCAAAAAAAAAACAAAACAAAAAGAGTCAGACACCTGTGCTAAACAGTGTGAATCTGCGCCCTTCCTCGGGGTTTAGACACTAGCCTGACAGAGGAAGGCAGGCTGTCTCTTCGGCAGGTGGGCTACAGCTGGCACAGGCGGCGGCTGGGCCTGGTGTGTGGTGCAGGAGGCATAGGAGGAAGGAAGGGAATGGAGGGAGACCTCCAAACCTGAGCTCCAGGGGAGCCTCTTGGAGCTGTGTAGGGACCCAGCATCCTCTCCTGCATCCCCCTTGGGGACTAAAGGGCCAGAATGGGCATCTCTCATCAATTGAGAACCAGGAGAATTGCCCCAGGGCTGGGCCTGGCCCCGAACCCTCCCTAGTCCTGGAGGCCTGTCTTCCCTGCCTGACAAGATGCTGCTGCCCAGCTGAATATCCTTGCCTTGGTGAGGGGCCAAGGAAAAACAAGGTGCCCTCACTGTCTGGACACACAGCCTAGGGTTGGGGCTCAACCATGCAAGGAAGGCTTGGACTCCTTATCTCTCAGGAAAAGGATAACATGGTCAAAGGACAGAGAAACCCTTCTAGGCCTCGAAGTGTCTCAAGTGTCTTGACTGATAAGCTTCTTGGGCCTTTGTTACCTGGCCTCCACTCTGTCAGGAGTCCAACCGCACTGGACACAAGGCAGTGAGAAGCCAGCGGGCATCAGACCCCCAGGAGGGTCAGCTCATATGCACGCATGAGTCCCAGTGTCCCTGGACACAGCAGGTGCTCAGTGCACTCAGCAGCTGGACACGTGTCCCTGTGAGATCATCCTCAGTCTGCCTCCTTGGCCCCATCTGTGTCCAAACTGGGAGGGAAGAGGGAGAGGAAGACAAAGGAGGGGGTAGGAGACACATGTGGGAGAGGGCACCACCCCCAGTGACTGGCAACACATGGGACACGGACATCAGTGCCAAACCACGCATTACTATGGCAACAGACATCAGCAGGAGGGAACTTCCCCAGATTAGCAGTATTTGGGCGATTTTTAGGTTTTCTTTGTTTTCTGTATATGCAAAGATGAAAAGATGAACACACACAGTGTTCACTGCATCCTGCAATGTCTCAGAAGTATCCTGCGTGGCTCAACCTGGGGTGGGGGTGAATGGGTTGGAATTTGCTCATTCATCCAACAGACAGTGCTTTCTTTTTTTTTTTTTTGAGTTGGAGTCTCACTCTTGTTGCCCAGACTGGAGTGCAGTGACTGCTTCCGGCCACTGCAGCCTCCACCTGCTGGGGCTTTGGCGATCCTTCCGCCTCAGCCTTCCAAGTAGCTGGAATTACAGGCGCGCGCTACCACGC